ACCAGCCACTCCTCGGAAGGAAGGTTGGGCAATCCTACTTCCGTAGTGATACTGCCTCGGAAACCCAAGGAGGGGTCGCTATGAGTCAGGGCTGACTTGACGGCACATAACAACAACAACAACAACAAGTATTTGACAGCTTTATTTGCTTGATAAGCTTTTTATATCCTCTTCCCATCCCTACAGATGATATTGTTTCTTATTAAAATGCACGTTTTTCTAGAGCTCCCCCGCAGCCATGAAAAAGAGGGGGAATACCACTTTGCAGGCTCTGTCCATGCAGATTATATCCACATGTTTTCATTTTCAAAGAGAAACTGTTTTGTAAACAGCTTTTCCCTCACTCTGTGTGTGTGTGGTATATGTGTTACATGCCATTGAGTCAGACTCGCCTCAGCAACCCTCCTTGGGTTTCTGAGGCAGTATCACTACGGAAGTAGATTGCCCCATCTTCCTTCTGAGGAGTGGCTCGTGGATTTGAACCACCAGCCTTCTGGTTAGCAGTCAGGTGCCTTAGGCGCTATGCTACCAGAGCTCCTTCTCACTCACTATACAGTGAACATTTTCTGTGGATCATAAATATTCTTTTGATAACATAAAAATAACATGATAATGCACATTAAAATTAAATTCAACTAAAAGGAAGTACTATTATTTAGAATTAGTCACTTATTGTCGATCATTAAAATAGCTTCCAATATCATAAACAACTCCATATTATAAATACTTCTGCTAAACTTCTGTATAGATAAATAATTGCCTGCATTCTTGATTTTTTTTTCTCTTTTTCGAATAGATTTCTGGAAAAAAAATAAAATGCACATTTTCTTATAAGAGAGTAATATTTAGAAAAAGGAAAAATCCAGATAATAGTTATTCTTTCCTTTTGAACAATGGAATTTATTCTGATTGAAACCTCATTTTGAAATATTTCTGTATAAAAAAATAAATACTATTAGCTTAGTTTATGTTTTGTTAGACTCTCTTGCAAATTTGTATTGGTCTTTATTATTATTACTTAAAAATTATTTTTTGTTGTTTTTGCTGAGAGTAAACAGAACTAATCAGTTCAGCTATTTCTACATGTATAATTCAGTAACATTGATAATGTTTTGCCACAATCTTCTGACAGTGATGGTTTTACTTTTTCCTTGATAGAAAGTGGAGCTGTTCCAAAAAGAAAAGATCCCTTAACACACCCTAGTAATTCACTGCCTCGTTCAAAAACAGTTATGAAAACTGGATCCACAGGTCTTTCGGGCCACCACAGAACACCTAGTTGCAGTGGATTATCAATGGTTTCTGGAGGGAGACAAGGGCCTGGCCCTGCCACTGCAACTCATAAGGTATTCTGTTTATGTTTGTTGCAAATACATTAAATTACTTTAGAAAATAGGTAAGTGTCTGCAAGGTTAAATGTAAATTGTTTTTAATCCACAAGGGTAACTTGGTATCAAAGACCCATCTTATTTTGACTTCTTTTAGAACCTAATTAGGTTTTTTTATCTTAAGTTTGCTAACCCAGTCTGTTTTATATATAGTCATGCACCACATAATGTCTATTCAGGCAGCATCCAACCATATGTACATCCATAGTCTATAAGTTTTCATAGAGCTCAGAAATCTCCATCAGAGAATGAGATGTAACAGTTACCAGACATAGTAAATGCAACAGCTTCCCACACACAACACATGTATTTCATGTCCCTTGTATATAAAGTGATTATGTTGCCAGGCATATAATGGTGCAGTACATAACCTGTAACACATTTATCTTAGTAGTCGTAATTAACACCTGTGTTACTGGCTTATGTATGTGCTGTACTGTACTTTCTATCATTTCAGTGTCAACTCTCCCTACTTATAAGTACAAAGTTTACTGTATAACAGTGTATGCTTTGACTTATAGGCAGCAGCATCCAAGCCTGTCTCTTGAGTGTTATAGCATTATCTCTCTGTTTAAATTTCTTTAGAAAATACTGTGAAGTGCATCATGGCTGTCAAGCGCAGCAAAACCAGTGCTTATGATAGCAGCAGCAAGAGGCATAAATGTTTCAATTTTGAAGTGAAATAAAAGGTGTCCCACATACAGCTTTGCTAAGTATATAATATGGTCTTTGCACAACATCTAAAATACATAACTTCCTTTTGCATAGAACTATTGTGGACATTAAGTGATGCATGGCTATAATGTTAAACATTTAATCTAAAATTGTACTTCTTTTAATCACTAAGTCTATTTCGATGTTTTATAACATTAAACGTACCTAGAGGGAGCTCTGGTGGTGTAGTACCTAAGGCATTTGACTGCTAACCGGAGGCTGGCAGTTCAAACCCACCAGCCACTCTTTGGAAGGAAGATTGGGCAATCTACTTCTGAGAAGATACCGCCTCAGAAACCCAAGGAAGGGTCGCTGTGAGTCACGATAGACTTGACGGCATTGAGTTTGCTCTTTTGGGAGAGTTTTGTTACAGTTCTTTCTGAGGTCAAAATTATATGACTGCCTTATTATGGAATGTTTTTCTTTCATAGTAATTGAATATCTTTGGGTGAAATCCTCAATAAACCCACGTGATGCTAAATAAAATTCTATAGTGAATACAATTTCACTTAAGGGTAAAATTTTGTCTTTTGAATTGTAGATCTTTTTTCCTATTTTTATAACTGTAATTTTGTGAACTTTAAGGATAATTTACTTGTGAAAAGAATAAATGCTAGGTTGTGTTTTCACGATATAATTTTGCATTTTTAAGGGTACTCCAAAAGCAAGTAGAACAAATAAACTTTCTACCCCTACAACCACTACTCAGAAAAAGAAAGACTTGAAGAATTTTAGGAATGTGGACAGCAACCTTGCTAACCTTATAATGAATGAAATTGTAGACAAGTAAGTTCTGCCATCCCGTATGTTTTATTTCACTTTTTTTTTTGTTTTATTTAGAATACATTTCATGAGTGAAATAGGTAATAATTACTCTGACTTATATAATTTGTATGATGATTTTCAATTAATATAAATGCATTACTTGTTTAACTGTAGTTTCACAGTTAAATTAATTAGTTAACATAAAAATGCCTACCCCTACTAGGCCACTCCTCAGAAGAAAGGTAGGGCAATCTACTTCCGGTAGTGATCTGCCTCGGCAACCCAAGGAGGGGTTGCTGTGAGTTGGGTCCGACTCAACAGCACATAACAACAACAACTAGGGCTTAAGAGGGGACCTGATGGCACACTGATTAAAGCATTCAGCTGCTAACTGAAAGGTTGGCAGTTTAAACCCACCAGCTGCTCCATAGGAGAAAGATGTGACAATCTGCTTCTATGAAGATTACAGCCTTGGAAACCCTATGGACTAGTACTACTATGTCCTGTAGGGTCACTATGAGTCAGAATCAAATTGACAGCAATGTGTTTTTATAACCCATAAAACAAACCCATTGCCGTCGAGTCGGATCCAACTCATAGCGACTCCTCCTTGGGTTTCCAAGGAAGCATCACTGCGGAAGTAGATTGCCCAGTCTTCCTTCTGAGGAGTGGCTGGTGGGTTTGAACCACCAGCCTTCAGGTTAGCAGTCAGATGCCTTAGGCACTATGCCACCAGAGCTCCTGTGTTTTTATAGGGCTTAAAATTAATTGATTTTGTATTGTAATAAATGAAATCTGTTTCTCTTGTGGAGCTAACTGAGGTTCTCTTTCTCAGTGGAACAGCTGTTAAATTTGATGACATAGCTGGGCAGGAGTTGGCAAAACAAGCGTTACAAGAAATTGTTATTCTTCCTTCACTGAGGCCTGAGGTAAGGATTTTATATTATCCTTTTCTTAAAACATCATCCATTACTGAATCAGAGGTATTAGTAAGGAAATGTTTGCTCTATGTTCGAATGCTTGATTTGTATAAAATTACAGTATAGTTAATTTTAACAAAAGACAAAACATTAAGAATTCATCTTAACCAGTTAATATAGGAGAGGAGAATGAATATAAAAGTTCCTAATTCCCAATCCCTTTTTAACACATACAGAAAATAATAAGTGGTGGTTGTTAGTTGTCTTCTAGTTGATTTAGATTCATAGTCACCCCATGGGTGCACAGTAGAACTGTGTTCTATACAGTTTAAAAGGTTGTGACCTTTCAGAAGCAGATCTCCAGGCCTTTCTCTTGAGGAACCCTCTGGGTGGATTTGAACCGCCAACCTTCTAGGTAGCAGTCGAGGCCTTAACTCTTAGCACCACCCAGGGAGTCCTAGAAAAAGTGGGTAACAGAAAATAATTTTTGTATTAAGGTTCAAGACATTCTAAATTAAGAGACAGAAATCATATTAGAAGAGAAATTTAATATAAATTTATGTGGAAGTTTGAAGAAAAAATTTTAAAACAATTTTTTTTCTCCTCGTGATTTGGGTGATAATTTACAGAGCAAATTTGTTTTCCATTCAAAAGTTCATATACATTTTGTTTCATGACACTGATTGCAATTCCCATAGTGTAAAGCTGCTCCCTTCCTGTTTACTCCCTGTAAAACTTATTTTCAAGCTTTCAAATTTGATCAAAAGAAAACCAGTAAGTAATGGTAAAGACCTACCCTATCCCATATGTTTAGAACTTACTAATGAAGTTAGGTTATCTCTAACTTGACAATAAATATTTGATTTTCATACTGCAAAAACGGCAAGGAGGCCACAAGTTCCGACTTCCTCTAACCCTACAAGAGGAAGACAGGATTACCAGCAGTAACCCAAGGCCTATTCCTACAAGGCCAGACATGCTGCCTCTCTCCAGCCCTTTCACCAACCGTTCCTCCCAAAGCACCCACCACCTCTCTCCTGGGTTCGATAATTCGCTGCAGTGGCCACACACAACTCACAGATTACGGGGTTTATTAGGGAAGCACCAGGCTACAACTCAAGTTCAGGAAGAACGCTCAGTCTCTCTCCCAGCCCACTGTCCCTCAGCCAAGAGTCTCTCACAGTCTCTTTTCCAGCAGTGCTGGTCCCTCGGTGTCTCACTCAGTGATGCGTGTCTCTTGCGGCTCTTTCCCAGCAGCACGTGTCTCTTTCAGGGGTGCGTGTCTCTTTCGGCAGCACGTCTTCCTCCACCAGCAGTCAGAGAGAGTTCTGCCTCCAGGAGGCCTCCTTTTGAGCCTGGAAGGGTGGTCAAACTAGCCAATCACAGCATCAGAACTCTAAGCACGTGAGAGAGAGTGGGAACTTCCCAGAACATTGTATTGTGCCACGCCCAACAGAAATAACCCAGGTGGGCGACTTTAAAATCAGGATCTCCTCCGTAGCTAATAGCAATTCCCACCTTAGAGTTTACAAAGACTTATGGGTAGAAAAGCCACACTAAGTAATTTACTACACCGCACATACTTAGCACTGTTTTGGATTTTCACAATTCACATTTTATGTATTTGATGCTGTTTAAATAATGTTCTGAAAAATAAATCTGAGGACCCACTTCTAGGTCAGTTATTTCTCCTTGAACATTCAGTTTTTCACATACTACCTTCATGGTGTTTATCATTTTTAAGTACCAGCTCACTATAACATACTTGAATATTTTTTAAATATACTTTCTCTGTATTATTTCTTACTTATTCTCAGCAGCGGTATATATGAAATCATTGATATGCTACATTTTTTGTTAAGACACAGTAAAATAATTAGAGAATTGTTAAAATAGAAAACATAGGTCCTTATATCAACCAGATTTATCTCATATATCATCTCAGGCCACACTTGGGAAACATAGTAACTTTGTATACTAGATTAACTTTTTGTTGGATTTGTGAAGAGTAGGACATGCAGTAGACTATTGATTGACATAAGTGTTTGTTGAAAGAGGTTTCTTAGAATTGTAGACCTGAAAAGTATCTTAGAAATCATCTGATACATTTGCTGATTAAAAAAAACTAATCCTAAGAGTTAAAATGACTTACCCAAGATTATTACGAAGTGGTGGATTTAAGAAATGAAATAAAAATGCTCCTGAGGTTAAAACTTCCTCTGTAATGTTATAGCTGCTCTACCTAATTCTTTAAAGTGTGTTTTACCATTTATTAAGAGCCGTGCTTTTTAGGGTAGAAAATACATGTATTGGAAAATATTTGGGCTATGATAGAAAAAACATTCCACTTTTGCTTTACATGTTATTTACAAAGCAAATTGGTTTTACATTCCACAGTTCATGCATATTTGATATCGCGGCCCAGATTACCATTCCTAACCATAAAAAACTCTCCTCCCCTCCCCTCCATGTAACTGCCCCCTCCCTGTGCCCTTCTTTTTTTTTTTTTTCTTTGATAGAATTTTTTTATTTTTATTTTTATTGTGATTTGGGTGAAAGTTTACAGAGCAAATTCACTTTCCATATAGCAGCTCACATGCCCTTTGTCTCATGACATTGACTGCAATTTCCCATAACACAACAGGTCCCACCTTGTCCTTGTGTCCTTCCTCCCATGCACTCCTGCTGCCCGAGCTGTCTTCCTGTGTATACCCAGCCTTTCTATTCTCCCATGATTGGTCTCTCCAAGGAGTATATCTACCTAATGTAAATGTTCAGCTCATATGCCTATCTTTTGTTTGGCTGGAAGCCACAGGAATGGGTTCAATTCCAGACCTGAAGGGCAGCTAGGGGCCATAGTCTCAGTGACTCCATCAGGCTCTATGGGACCAACAAACCTGGCCTTGTTTTTTTTATTTCTTTCAATGATTTTAAGTTTTGTTCCACATTGTTCTCCCACTCTATCCAAGATCTCCTACAGAGATCCCTATCTGAGTGGTTGACAGTGGTAGCCGGGTACCATCTAGTTCTCGTGTCATAGTTGTATAGGCTGAGAATCGCATGGTGTACCAGTCACTTGGACTAATTGTTTCCATGTATCTTTGGTTTTCTTCATTCTTCTTTGCTCTGGATGAGGAGAGACCAATGATTGTATGTAGATGGCCACTTGCAAGCTTTTAAGATCCTGGTCACTATGCACCAAAGTAGGATGTGGACCAATGTTTTGTGCAATATGTTAGGCCAGTTGAGCTTGATGTTCCCTGTGATTACAGTCCCAAGCCCACATGTCTAACTACTCGTTCCCTCTGGGTATCTGGCTGTGGCCAAGAAGAGACTACAACCTTGTCCCTTGTCAGCTCTACCATATACCTGGGAATTCTTAAAGAACATACAAATACACTTGAAGAAACTTTGCCTGCCGACCCTATACATGGTGTTGGGCACACTCCCCCCTGCATTTAAAAAAAAAACAAACTCACTGCCTTTGAGTTGGATCCAACTCATAGTGACCCCTCCTTGGATTTCTGAAGCAGTATCACTACGGAAGCAGATTGCCCAGTCTTCCTTCTGAGGAGTGGCTGGTAGGTTTGAACCACCAGCCTTCTGGTTAGCAGTCAAATGCCTTAGGCACTATATCACCTCAGCCTGTCCTCCCATATCAGTGTTTGCCTTCACTGACAACACAGTACTGTAAGTGCAGAAGCCTGTGCCCTTAACTGTGTGTTCCTGTCTGTCCAGCTTTCCCTTTATGTAAATGCTACCCCTCTGGTGTCTCTCAAGGCTGATTGATCTCGGGGTTGTATCTCCCTTGAGTAGGTGGGTGCATTGCCCTGGGGTAGGTGTTCTGCACGTAGGTCTGTATACTGTTGGGCTGAGAGCCAATCCATGGAAGTGAGTCCATTTCTAGGCCTGAAGGGTAACCCAGGACAGTAGTTTGCGGGGTTCCACTAGTCTAGCCAACCACTAATTCTGGTCATTTTTGTGTCTTTTAATTTTGTGCCACATTATTCCTCCCGCTCTCCCCAGAATCTCTAGTTTTGATGCTTTTCCAAGTGGTTGGCATTGTCAGCTGAGCACCATCTAGTTCTTCTGGCCTCGGGGTCCATCTTATCCTTGGACTAATTGTTTCCAAACGCCTTTGATTTTTTCACTTTCCTTTGCTTAAGATGAGAGGAGACCAATAGTTGCATCTTAGGTGGCCACTCATAAGGTTTTAACATCCCAGTCACTATTCACCAAAGTAGGTTGTTGAACAAGATTTTTATGTACGTACTGTGTGGTGTCAGTTGAGCTTGATGTCCCCCGACACTATGATCCCAAGTCCGCAGGCCCAGTGATTGTGTCTTTCAAGGTATTTGGTTGTCTTTGAGAAGCTGCTCCAATTCTTCTGTCTTCTGTTGCTTCTGTAATGTATGTGGCTATCTTTGTAGCAAAAGTGCATATGTAAGATTATCTTCAGCCAAATCTGTCCTTGGTCTAGGGTGTATTCCTGTTCACCTACTACCACCTGATCGTCTCACCTGTCTATACATTTATCCATAGCCTGATGTTTGTTGTTAGTGATAATGTAGTATTGTACATGTAATAATATTTTTTGTTTCTGTTGTCTGTATCTTATGTGCATGTTTCATTGTTGTTCCTTTCCCCAGTGTCATCATGCTGGTCACTGACTCTTTCATACCATCCCATCCCTCAGTCAAATCAATATGTGACCCTCAAATAGTCTGAAATTTTCTCTCTGCTTCCATCCTGTCCCCAGTAACCAACAAAGAGAGTTTCCTTCCCTGAGTAAACCTTTTCTTGACTTTTTACAATAATAAGCTCATACAATATTTGTCCTTCTGTAATTGACTTACTTCATTCAGCATAATGTCCTCCAAATTTGTCCACATTGTCAGATGATTCATGCTTTGCATGTGTTTTTAGAGAACACATCTAAAGTGAGAAGTGGGATCAGACTATGTATGTATTTGCGTTTAGACAAATTTCCTTGGCAGTGATAATGTACTGTTAAAAATCTGGAATATGTATATGCAAATTTTAGTTGCATGTTACTTAATAACTTGAACTTGGGATCCAAGAGAGGGAATAGGACTGTATAGCTCAGCTTTTCACAGTGAGTCCATAAAATGAGTTATGGTGAGTCTATAAATAGGTTAGACCTATCCCATACAGTGTCTCCATTGTGCAAAAATCAGCTTTTCTCCTAATTCTCTACATAAGGAGTTTGAGTGGATAGATTGCAATTGGGGCATTGTTAGGCTACACTGAGAATTTGAACTGTGATGGACTTGACTATTCGTGTTCTAGAAACTGGGTGAGAGAAGGGGACTTAGTTTCTATTAGGTTGAACCATATGAAACTACTCTTTTTATAGGTCAGAAATTGTTCATTTCAGCTATTTTAATACATTTCATCCTAAAAGTACAAACATCTTTACTTAATTTCTTCATTTTCAGTCTGGTTCTTCCCCTTGTCTCCTGCTATGCATGAGAATCTCTGAGTCTGGAGACTCTGGTTTAATTTTCTCTGGGCAATAAAACCTACCTTGGTTGTAAGGGGGAGCTCTGGTGGCATAGTGCCTAAGGCACTTGACTGCTAACCAGAAGGCTGGCAGTTCAAACCCACCAGCCACTCCTCGGAAGGAAGACGGGGCAATCTACTTCTGTAGTAATACTGCCTCGGAAACCCAAGGAGAGGTTGATGTGAGTCGGATCAGACTCAATGGCAGTGAGTTGAGTGAGGTAGTTGTAAGGCGCTCTGGTAGTGTAGTGGCTAAGGCTTTTGGCTGCTAACCAGGTCAGTGGTTCAAATCCACCAGCTGCTCCATGGAAAGAGGATGAGGCAATCTACTTCTGTAAAGATTTATAGCCTTGGAAACCCAGAAGGGGTCACTTTGAGTTGGAATCAACTCGATGGCAGTGAGTTTTACCTTGGTGGTAGATAGAGGAGTACTTGCCTCGCTGTTTTTGGTGGTGAGGAGAAACATGAGTTCAATTGCTCCTCATACAAACTTTGATCAATACCTCTGTTTTTGGCCACCTGCCTCATTGCTGTTTTCTCTAGTACTCATTGCCTCCAGTTCCCAAGTCCTTCCAGAGTGTTTTGGTTCACATTCACATGTTTTTTGTGTTCAGGTATCCTTTCACAAGCAGGCAGTTAGTTTTTACCATTATCAGTCAGCTCTGCTAAATAATTTACGACCCCTTTGTCAGTTCACCATCTTCAAAAATTTATTGTATTCACTGTTGTCTCCTCTCTTATTCTTTGTGCTTTGAATATTTATATTTTTTTATTCATTTGCTGTTATTTTGGTGCAATTCTAAAAGAAAGAAAAATTCCTGTGTTCAATCTGCCTGTTTGTTTTGTCTGCCTTCATTTTCATCACTGAGAATTTGGTTATATTTCATTTTGTTTTTTTCTGATTTTAATAATTACTCTAATATTTTGATTTTGTGTTCTCTTTAAAGTTCTGAGTAACACTTTTTGAGAGGATATTACTAAAAAAATGGTGCTTTTTAGATGATGATACTTAAAATGTCTGGGGAAAAATGTCGCTAGAATTACAGTTCTGAATGGAAGTATGTATTTTTCAGTTGTTCACAGGGCTTAGAGCTCCTGCCAGAGGATTGTTACTTTTTGGTCCACCTGGAAATGGAAAAACAATGCTGGTAAGAATTCTTTTCAAGCTTGAGTATTCTATTGTGATTATAGGCATAATAATATGAAAAAAAAAAAATTGTCTGAGTCTATTATTTTTGACTTGTTTTTTTTCTATAATGTACTTCTTTTATGTTTTTAAACTAGTTTTCTATTAAGATAAACTCAATGGAAAACCATTTAGGTTTTCCTTAGTAGTATGTTATTGGGTTGGTTAAATTTCACAGGGCAATTTTCATTATTTTCCTACGTTAAATAATGACATTTTAACTTAAAAGCATTTACTCTACTGTATTGAGCACCTTGTAACTCTTGATTTCTGACTATCTTAACGGCTTTATTTAAATAATCAGCATGACACAGATCCCCCCCCCCCCCAGTATCCTTTTGCCAAGAGTGTTTTATAGAATTGGGATGCCTCTTTTTCCTGCATAGCTTTTCTAGAGGGAAAATTAGGGGAAAAAATAATTTTCCCTCAACTGTTTCTCTGCACTGAACACGTTCCCTTGTTACCCTACCGAGAGGGACCAGGTCTTCGGGAGCAAGGTAAGCACAGGCGTAGCACAGAGTAGCAGGCCGGA